AATGGAAAACTACCATGGAGGGTAGTCATCCACTCACCACAGGGGGTCCCCCCTTGCCCCAAGGGTTCTGTTTGGGAATAGGCTTGTTTCCCAGCTGTAGTTTTTTCAGGATGCAGTCTTAGAACTGACACTGCTTTTTTCGCCTGCTTGCTTTTAGAAGCCTTGATTACAAAAAAAATCTGCTGACAAGCCCCCAACCCCATGACCAGCAAATTCTTAGGGTTAGAAGGTACCCTGTGGGAGGGTTGACTATGCTCCCTTCTAGTAGTTGCACACCTTAGGAAGCAGGTTGAGCACAAATAAGTGGAGACAATAAGCTCCAGTGGGGGAGAAAGTCTACTCCCAGGAGGCAGCAGTCATTTTCCACGATTGTTCAGAAAATGATCCAAGTTCTTTCTGATCAGTGAAAAATTCACCCACCCCTAAAATGCATCTTTTAATATCTAGAGAGCTATACAGCTGATGAATGAGTTCCACTCCTGAATTGAGACACAGATTCCAATTCAGAATTACAAAAGCAAAATATTTTAAACTTATTTTTACCAAGTGTAAATGAGCTTGATTTATATGCAGGAGAAAGAGTCACAAGTAATTGACCTAGCAACAGGCACCAAAATTCTTTTTCTGCATGTTGTGCTAGGAGAAATCAGCAACTTATCTTTGAAAAGTGATTGTCAGAGCTAAATATTAAAGTATTAAACATTTATTGTGAACTTTAGAATAACCCAGGAACTTATAATAAAATGCTAAACTTATGCTAATCTAAACTTCAAACTAAATCAGAGGTGGAACATACTGTGCTGAAGGTCTCTCTAAAAGTTACATCTACATGCTGGGTGCTTTATATTCCAGTGGTGCAGTTAAGGCTAGACTTTGGGGCCAAAATCCAGGGCCCCACAGCTCAGTGCTGGAGCCCCTCAGTGAACTCCCAGAGAATAGCAGTAGAAAAAGCTAACTTTGTTTGCATCTTATTCTTTGAGTTTTAAAATACAAACCAGCATATGTTCAACGAATTCTTTTTAAATCAAAATTGGCAAACAATTTTGCTATTCTTCTGATATTTTAAAGCACAGAATGGCAGGGTATGGAGGCTAAGAGAAATGAGTGTATTTAACAACTGCAAAACAACTGAGATAGAGATGATGATGATGATGATAACATTTCTATGCCGCCCCTTGCCGAATATGACTATCTCAAGCCAGCTCCACCCCACCTATGATACACAACATAAAATTGCTTAGCTATAGCAATGATATGCTCATGCAAGTTTATGTTCACACGGATTGAAGGGAGTAATCACAGTACCACTATGAGCTGCAGCCAAACAACTGCCTTTCCAGCATTTGCAAAGATTGAAACATGTATTTGGATTTTTGCTAGAGCACCAAACTGAAAAGCACAAGAAGCTGCATGTAACTTTACATGTTATCCGAAGCAGAAGGGCAGTGTGGGCTTAAAGATGTTGTCTCTCAGTATAAATATACTGGGAATTAATTTTATGATACTTCAAGTCTTTAGTTAATCTCATCACTAGATCTAGTTAACAATAACTATATTATTAAACTAAGACTTCCTTATAAGACTGCAAGAGATACTATATATAGTCTGATAGACTGACTGAACTTCTAAATATTTATGATACTTATTAATTGGTAAAGGTTCTGGGCTTCACATTTTAGCTCTCTTCTTATGTTTAATATTAATCTACTTAATGCATATACAATTACTCTAGCCAAATATGAAAATGTAGAGCTGTGAATGTTGTTTTTCCATGGTCGGGTGCATTAGTATTCTGAAATGCTGATATTTCCAATCTAGCGTTTTCAGATCTATGAAAGTAGTAATTTACTTGGGGATAAAACAGAAAGTGTAAAGTACAGGGTGATTTTTAGAGCCCTTTAAGTGCAATAAATGGTAAATATATCTAAATTAATCTTAAGTAGCAGTCTTGGGTTTCAAACAATGTTAATCCTAGATAAAGTAGACCCATTGAAAGGAATGAGACTCAGTCATTACTAATATAAGTCCAATTCCTTTTAGTGGGTCTGCTCTGATTAAAAATGGATGATATCCCTTTTCTGTATATGAAAAAGTAGCACTGCTTCTAGATCAGAGAACATCATCAGCCTTTGTCTAGGAGCCATTTAAATGATCTAGGAAGCTTACAACTGGGCTGTTACTGATTTGTTTTTCTTTCCATCAGGGTATAAGCACTGTTATTTGAGTAACAATATATTTGAGGAGCAATGCAGCAGTGCTCCAAGACATGACTGGCCTAAAAGAATCTATAATTCTTAGCTTTTGCCTGTTCTATTAATGCTTGAGCAGTGGACTTTAATGGGGGTGGGGTATATGTATAGAAGTATCTCTCATATTGTTTATTACACACTGAGACAGAGAATTACCATGATTTTTCTATCATGAGGGGGTGTGCAACTTGTCAGCCACATTTCACCAAGCTCAGCCATTTTGGTGACCCTGCTTGCTACCACTTGCTACAATCGCTACCACTGATATCCCTGTGCTGCTGAAATCCTAGCAACTCAAAACACCTCATTCTGCAGAGAGACAGAGTGTGTGGTCTTGGCAGTCCCTGCTTCCCAAGAGAAATGAGTTCCCCACAGTCCACCAAACAGCTGTTTATCGGGCTGTCTCGTATGTGATCATGGTGAGAATCAGGCTCTGTACCCATTCAGAAACAAGTGTTTCCAAGCAGAATCACTGCTTCTGCAGAGAAAGAAGGGGCACATTATTTGCATGCACCCTGCTTTTCTGCAGAATGGAGCTAATGGGAACCCAGTTTTGCTCGGTAATATGCTGCACACTCCCAGGACAATCACTGTGGCAGTGCTGGAGTGGCTACTTCTAAGATGCTTCCATGAAAGAAAATGTCCTGAAAAAAGGATGTAGAGAGAGGTTAAGTGTTCAAATAAGTAGCATTTTGGATGAATTTAGCTGCCCATCAATGTTACCAATTTGTATGTAGCAATTAGGAGGCTTCACTAAATGTGCCTCTGTTGTGTCAGCCAGCTAGAGTACATGGTGCCACTGCCTAAGTTAGGTGCACTAAAGTCAGGAACATTTAAATGGTATAAGAGTAGATATAAGTGAAAATTCCTGTAGGCTAAGCTTTTCAAACACCTCTAGTACTGTCACAAGACAAGATCCATCTGTTGACATTACCTGTTCTATATAACCATTAAAAGGTGCATTTCCAGAGGTTGGTCATCCTTATTCCAAAGGACTGCCTATGACAACAGACTTCTGCAATCTATTGACTGGTGGTCCAGTACAGGTTGAGGAAAGACTGTAAACTAGAGCAACCAAAGCAAATTCACATTTGCTTCTGTGGAGACTGCACACGCAGCTATAAATTTCATGGCTTTAGATGAGACCATACGGCAGTAATCAAGTAAAGACTGTCTGTGTACACTGGCTTTCAGACTTCTCTGTCTTTCAGCTAATGACATGGAAAAATCCAGAAAAATCATCAGACAGTCCTGTCATCAACAGTGACTGTCCTTGAATTCAGAAAAGAAAAAGAAAATAGTAGATTTGCAATGTCACATAAAAAGAAAACAGGGCAAGTAGCGACTGAAAGGAAGAATAAAGAATAAAAGATGATAGAGTTTAAAAGATCAGAGAGGACAGAGAGCATTTATTGATAGGCAGGCATTTGAAGTGGAAATGGAAGAAATAAGAGGAGATTTAAGGGCACTTTATCAAACTACTAAATGATTGGCAGGAGATTTAGCTACAGAAGAGATCATCTAGTAAAAAGGGAAAAACCTCACCCATACTAGAAGAGCAAAAGCAAAGATTTGAGCAGCAGTTTTATGTTATACCAAAACCAACACTTAACTTTGATAACATAGAAAAGATGACGGAATTTGACATTTACTCTTTGAAACCATTGCCGAAAGCTGAATATTAAGGAGGCAAGGAACATCAGAGCACAACTGCTCAATACAAGTGGTGAAGTCAGCTTAAACCACTACAGCACTTCTTCAAACTGAATATGAGAGAGGTTACAATCAAAATGCTCCGGATACTGATGTAACCAACTACATACATTGGCTTAGGACTGTGAGGGACTTAGTTCTGGAAAATATCTTCTTCAAAACCATGCTACCTTTGAAATTCTTTGAAACTCGTTAAAAGCAAACTCCAAAGGAAAAACAAACCACTCTTGACTAGATAGAAGCTTTTATCGTAGTTACATAACTTACCTAATTTCCAGGAAACAGATTATATTGTAGAAGACAGTCTATGGACCATTTAAGAGGATACAAATACAACCAAGCAACCAAGCAACCAAACTAAATAGAAAACTTGTAGCATATAGACAGTCAAGTGTGGCACTTCTTATATTATTGAATGTATTAAAATGATTAATTGAATAAATTTTCAGTATGTATTGAATGTAGACCAGAAAAACTAATAACAATAATCTTATTCTATTTTCAGGAGAAATTGCTCCAAGATTTCCATTAATTTCTCCATTTCTTGCTGTTGTTCTGCAGCAACATTTGGCCTGGGGTTAAAACAATATTTGTAAAACAAAATAGGGATGCTATTAATGAACCACAAAGTTTATAAGAGATTCATTTCAGCTGCTAGCAAATATATGTTGATAGTTGTTTTCATGTTAATAGGTAACTGTAAAACTTACAGCCTTCAAGTCTGCCAATTCTGACAGCACCGATCATCCATTAAGAAAAATTAGCTCTCCTTCCATGCTATCCCAAACAGGTGCTAAGTGAGAATTTGTCTTGGAATTCATGCTGCTGCATAAGAGGATCTATGAATCAGGAGTAATGTTTCTCAGATTTATGCAAAATGCTTAAGATTTGTAGAATGATCATTGCTAAAGTTCTCAGCACCCAAAATATTGTTTATAATGTTTTTGTTACATTGAGTGATCAAGATTGGTCATATCTATCTGATGTTTCATCTTATACTTTATAAGAAAGAGTAAATGCAGCTTTAAAAGTTCCTACCTTAAATGAACTAGGGTAATGATCAATGTGTTTCATGGCAGCCCAACCCCTGGAATGCGGCTTCCCCAGAAATTCTACATGATGACTTTCAACATCTCCATCCAAGTCATATTTCACATACTGACTATCAACAGGATCAGGACAAAGAATGCCAGGCCACCTTGAAATAAAATGTTTAGAAATCTCAATGGAGAGTGGGGAAAGCATAACATGCATAATCTTTATCTGAAAAGGAACACAATTTTTTTCACAAAAAGCCATGCCAAGAGAAGAATATTTAATAACAAGCAGAGCAATACTATGTTGTGGGAGATGAAAATGAAATGGCAGGCATTTTGCCTCTGCCAAAAGTGGGAAATGAGAGTGAATGTACTAGAAATATCTGATCCAGTGGATCATTGTTATTTAGAATGTTCTCTATTACTGAAAGCAACATGCAGGGAAGAGTAAAAATGTGCCAGCCCCAGGCTGGCATCATCCATGGGTTCAGTCACGGGTTCAGCCTCCCAGAGGAATAAAGGAGCTTAGAATCCAAGGCTACCTCTGACCTACTTCTGGAATGTCCCATTTCTTTGGGCAAATTGGATGCTTCTGTGACAGATGCCTCTCTTCAGAGTGGCACTATTCCCCACCCAAAGCTTCTCCATCCAGCAGATCTGCCAGTTTAGTTTGCAATATTAGAAGTCAATTTAGCTTGCCTTCCATAGTGATGGCATTCTAGATTGCTTATCCAGTTGTTCTGCATGCCACAACAGAAGAAGGAAAAGGATCTCCTCTGCAGCCACCTGCCCTAAGTTCCTTTGGCAATGAGTCTGGAAGTACCCAGCAAAAACGGACAGAAGAAGCGCAGGCATAGATTTAACACCTTGTGTAGAAGCAGTGAGGAGAGGCCTGGGAAGCCTCTCTCATAGGAATAGACAAGCCTTGCTACAAGTAGTGCTACCAGAAGGGCAGGTACTTCAAACAAAAGTTGTTGGACATTTTGTTGATGTACAGCCAGGAAAGGGGGAAGTGAGTTGTAAATCTTTGCCCTGGCCAAGAATCTCCAGGCTGAATTGGCCTCAGTGTGGTAACTAAACTTACAAATAAAGATTGTCTGTGCTTCCTTTAAGAGACTTGTGAATATGGAGGCTATGGAAGAGGATGGGTTCAACATACCCCCTCCCTGTGGAAGTGCACACAATCATGAAATCTTTTTGTCTCTCAAGGATAACCTGTAATTCTGCTTCTTATAATACTTCTCTGGAAAGCTGCTGTTCTACTATATTTTAAAATGAGATTTATTTTTAGAAAATGTCAGAGTTCATTTTTATACAGCATTGTCTTGTTCTCTTTTTCAAGAGAACTGTTTTAATTCTCATCACAATGATACATTTTAAATTAGAGTGAACGTATATTATATGTAATTAAATTTTAACTTTTTCAAAACTTACCTTGGCCATGTTTGTGTCTTCACCAAAACTAAACTTCCTAAAGGAAGTTCTGAATACACATACTTTAATCCATGTTTTTGAAATTGAGACTCCTTAGGAAAATACTGTTCAGAAACAGAACATTTATTAAACTGTGGATCACTGTTCATATAACAGTACCATGGTTCATTGGGATCAACATATGTAGCATTATCATGTGGTAATAATCTCCATTTTAAACAGTTGCTATTCTCACACTGTATCCACACTTTACCTAAAGAAAAATGATCTGTTACAGAATCCATTTAAACAGTCTTCAGTTTTATCAGTCAGAGGTTATTGAATACGTGTTTCTTCTGAAATATAAAGAAAAGAACAAATCCAAATAAATTATATTTATCATGAAGATCATGCTTACATGATCTACTATTAAAGGCTTAGCTAAGTCAAGTATTCTTTCTCTTGCTTCTTTGCTGGCACTGTAGTTTGTCTTCTCTCCCAGCCTTTCTAAAGCTTACTTTTCATTAAAATCACCCATGCCTTTCTTACAACAGCTCACCTTTTGGCAGCAGTCATATGGTACTAAATGGGGAAATAAACTTCTCTGCAGCTTCTGTGGGGCAATGTCTAGGGTGTGTTCCCCACTGGACTTTGCCCACCCAAGGCTTCCCATTCATGCAGCTGTATAACTGGAGGTAATTTAATATTTTCTACAAATATTAGCACAAATGAAAAGGAACCAAAAATTAAAAATATTTGACAACCACAGGTTCTTCCTCCAAGGTACTACTGGGACACTTTGAAAGGAGTATGTGTAGTTATCAAAATGGGGATTGTTAAAGCTGGCTTAACAACCAGCTCCTGCAATCTCAGGGGGAAAGAAAAATGTTTAAACTGTGATGAGCCCCAGTGGCTTGTGACTGAGGTGGGGAGTGGTGAGACAACTCTCTCCTCTTGTGATGAGCCCTGGAGGAGAGGAAGTGGGTTCACAAACCCACAGTGAGCCAGATTGTCTCTTGGGTTGTTCTGCTAACAACCAACCCCTTATGGCTTCTTGCCAGGGTGACTTCACATGACTGGCAAACACACCCAGTGTTTGTAGTTGAATGTCTTCCACTCAGAAATAATAGCCGATTAGTATCTCCAAAATATAAGGATATTGAAGCATGGAGACACCCCAGATTGGCCTTTCACAATAGCATCCATGTGCTAATTTGAAGTTAAGTATAATGAATAGAGCATGGTTGACACATCACAAAGTTCACTGTTTATTTATGGAAAGTTATAACTTTTTCAGTCTCCAGAAATCATGTGGGCATGAAGAAAAAAAATGGATGCTTGCATGAATCATTGAGTTGCTGTTGAATGCTTTTAATGGTAGTTAACTGGCATTGTGACATTTGAATATTGATGAATATCTCATATGTTCATCCCTCCCTCCCTCCGTGTGTGTGTGTGTGTGAGAGAAAGGGGGGTGGGAGGAGGGATATAAGAATGATCCCCTATTGCAAACTGAATAAAACAATGTTTGTTCTTCTGGAGGAGCCATAGGAGGCTGAAGGGATTTGGAGGGACGGAAGGGGACAGGTGAACCAACAAGGGAAAGGGGTCTGCAGAGGAGAAGAGAGAGCAGCAGTGCCTCTCAGTGTAGCTTACAAACTGAGCCAGCTGCTTTGCTGGCAGGCAGCAAATGACTAACTGAAGGCCTACATCCAATCAAGGACAGGTCTGAGAGACTTAGGATTTAATTGTCAGCCTGAGATTTAAAAATATGTCTGGATTGTCAGAAGTTTGTATAATCCATAAAGAAATATGGTAACTCACCAAAGAGGTCTCCATATTATGATAAAAGGGGAACAGAAGGAATCATTTCTGCAAGCAAAGAATGTGGCAGTGGCATATCTTGCAACCATAGTCCCAAAAGTGCACGTCGCATGCCAGAAACTGTTTGCCAACATAAAATTAATAACTTAAAGGAGGAAAGCAGTAAGTATTTGTTTAAGTCAAGGCTTATTTAATAGTCAGACTATTCATTTTGTAGTATTCATATTGACTTCTCATCAAAACACAGACCAAAAAAACATGGAAATGTAAGGACAAGTCACGTTACTGAAACCATTACAGTGACCTGTAAAAAGCATAACAAATGGTAATTTGTGGTAAAAAGAATTACGGACAATGGCTTGTCCAATCTTCATGCAGTAGACTATGTATATCATCAAAGCTATAGCAAAAATTTTCTGCAGTGTGAAACACATCCCACTACAGTGCACTAATATTGGCAGAAAAATGTAATGTGGGATGCCCACGTAAGAAACAGCATCCCACATTACCTTCATACAGCATTTCTGAGAACATGTTCTTAGAAGCCAATGATGATCAACAACTGAGTGTTACAGAACACATATCACTGATAGAATCATTCCTTCAAGGTGATGATTCACAAGCCTACAACATATCACACACAAAATACAAGCTTATAGAAAACTATGGGAAGGTATTGGCACAGTGGTCAAGGTGGGTGAAGCTAATGTGCTGACATTGAAAGAATTATCTAATTCTATCTTGCAAGAGTATTAAGTAAAGTCCAAAGAATGTGATAACAACCTCTAGAAGATGCATGTACTGTAAATGAAACTGGAGCAAAATTCATCCAGTCTCAGTAGTGTACTCACTGAGGAAAAAAACGCTCAAATATCACCCAAACATCCAGAAACTTTTGTGTATGGAGCTCTTTCTGGGAAGGATGTTTTTCTCCCACCCTCACAAAAACTTGCTTTGGTTTGACAAAGCATCATGCAAGTTGTGCAGCTGCAGTAGCTCTTCTATGGTTTGGTCTAGCAATATAGCTTCATATTGCTAGACCAAATTCATAATTTGAGATCCAGATTGACCTGATACTTTTGATTCAAATGGCTTTTGCTTGTCATAAAAATAATTATGGTAATAATTGAATGCAGTGCTGCTATAGTCATAACTTAGTGATCTTATACATTAGAGCAGCCAACCCCATCATAGTGCCCTACAAATGTTTTAGATTTTAACTCCCATAAGCCCCAAACAGAATGGCCAATAGTCAGGAATGCTAAGAGTCAGAGCTGGTGTTAAGGAGAAACCCACTAGTGCTGGAGCCCCAGACCTTTCATTTGGAGCCCTGAATCTCTCAGAGGCCAATGGCCCCATCACCCTGTGATCCATAGGCATTTGCTGAAATTAAATGCAAATTTGAAGGTGTTCCCATAATATGATTGTCACTAGATATGCTAAAGGAATATTGTTTCTGAGTGGGAAACAATTCCAAAAACTAGTTACAGTTTACGCACTATTGTTCCTTGTCTGTTCCTTCCCCCCTCTTCTTCTCATACACTCTGCTTGGAAAGGACACTTCTTGGTTTATTAACGCAGTTCTTCCAGGAGATCTGAACTAGGAAACTAGTATGAAATTCTCTTACGGGCTTCTTATTGTCCTAATGCTTGCAATATCTTAATTCAATTGTTATTACTGAAACATCGTGGAGGGGAATTCTCTGTTTATATTATTATGCCATATGCGATTCCTCAGTTGTTCTTATTAACATTATGTACAGAACTGAAAACGTCTCTGTTCCCAGAAAAGATTTGGCAGCAAGTATAGGGTCTTTAAAAATCAGAGTAAATTCTAGAGTGGATACACAGTCCTGCTCATACTGGAGCGCCCCCGTCCCACGCCTCCCCTGGATGTGATTGCAATTGTGCAGCTTTTCACTTGTTGATTTCAGTACTTAATTTGATGCCTTGGATTCCTATTTACTGTTCACGCGATGGAAACGTTTCTGTGAGAGAACCACCGCGGCTCAGAAATGTGATAAATAGACACATGGAGCCAAGAGTTCGACCATAACAGCTGGGTGACCTCAAAGGGATGAGGCGGCGGGGCAAATGAGTAGCCACAGCTCTTTCTCCTCTGAGGTAACTCTACGCTTTACCACACAGCATCTGAGTCCACAGGGTCACGCACCGGACTACAACTCCCTTCTCGCACTGGGCTGGCCCCGCGCGTGGTATGCCGGGAGCAGCGCTTCCAGCCGGCTGGAAGCTCCCCTCCCTCTCCTTGGAAGCGGAAGACTACAAGCCCCGGCATGCTCCACTTTGGAACGTTCCGGTAGAAAAGTTCACGTTGCAGTCACGTGAGATTAGGCGGTGGGAAGGTTAGTTTCCTGGTGTGGGTGTGAGGTGGGTGGAAGGGGAAGGAAGGAGTCCCGCGACTGCAGGGGGCCGGTTTGGCGTGGTAGTCGCTGCTCGTCTGGGGCTGGGTGGGGAATGATGAGCGTCGCGAGGCGGCGGAGGAGGAGGCGGAGCAGCAGCAGCCGCGGCCGCGCTGAAACCTCCTTCCTGTTTCTCTCCGCGGCGGCCCCGTCGCGCTGTTGACTGTCCGGCCGGAGACGAAAGGAGCTCTGCGGGGGTCCGCCCACTTTGGCAAGGCGCTTGCTGACCGCAGGTAATGCTTTGTCCTTCTAGCGCGTCTTCTGATGGAGGGTTTGTCCGCTGTTTGGTTCACTCCCCCATTTCCTCCTTGCTGCCCCATACCAGCCTTTTTCCTCCTGCGCACGGGGTTTTCCTTCGTTCCGCAACCCCAAAAGATGTCCTCTTCTGGAAGAATGGTATTCACACGGTGCACCATAACTCGGCCTCTTTCTTACGGGCAAGATGGTTCATCCATGTGCTTAGGTCAAGGTTGGGACAGACCTCAGGCTTGCGGGATCTGCTTACTTTTGTTTCTGCTTTTATTATTTTGCTAGAACGCAAGAGTCACCAACCAGATCCTATTGCAAAGGACACATAGTCAGAATTAAAGATTTGTGAGCCCAATAATTTTTTTTTGAATACCAGGACTGAATGGACCTCACAGTTTTTCCAAACCAAATTCCATGCCAGGTTTTTCATTATATTTATATCCTGTGTTGTTTCCTTCAAGGAACTCAAGCAGGTTTACCTAATCCCCCTTTTTCCAGTATCTTCCCAGTGAGCCTGCAAGGTAGGTTAGATTGGGAAGCAATGATATTCAGTCATACAAAGTCTCAGAGTCCAGGCACAAATTTCCTTTGGCCTTTCTTTAGAGCAATTATGCCTAAGCTTTTATGTCCTCCAGGTGTGTTGGATTTTATTTCCCCTTCAGTCCTAGATAGCATGTGAGATGTCAGGAAGTCAGTGAGTTGTAGATCAAAACATCCCTAAGTTACCAGGTTGGTGAATACTGCCCTAGGTTTCTTTCTAGAAATGTCTTGATTCCTTGTCAGTGGCATGGAATTTGGAATTAATTGGGCAAGTGTGAACCACTTTGCAAATTTTGTATAGGCATGAAGATCTTACTGTGCATTAAAGCACCAGGGAGCTGCAGGCAACTGTTGGATGTGTGTTCTGCTTCTAATTTATATATGGGACTTTTATGTATGGGACTTAATATTTCTTAGGAAACCTTTTGAATGTGACTTATGGCATCATGCCTTTCCTGCTTAAAAGATACATTAAATTAAGTGGTTGTACATTCACCTGGGTAAAGAAATATGGCTTGACAAAAAGATAAAATGTTCAGTCATGATCTATGTCTCCTTCAGTCTGAACTGGTGGCTTTTATTATCCTTCCCTTGCTCAGTAATATTCTCTGAATATTCTGATTCATATAACTTTCCTAGATGAATTCATGTGCAAGTTTATGTTGATAAATGACAATAACAATTGATTCATTACAGTCTTTGTATTTAACAAAAATGCTGATTATATTTTTTTATCCAAGTGCTGTGGAACTGATCCTTCATTATTTCCAGAGCAACCTGATTTATACAATGAAAGAATTAAGGGAAAGTCTAATGTAAAAGAAATTTGTTCGTCTGGCTTTAGTTTTAATCAAACATGTTAGGGAAATTGTATCCCAGATGGTGGTAGTCATCAGATGTTTTTAAACATGGCCACTGGTGCTTTTTTGAAGCATGACCAAATAGGAATGTTTGAGAATAGGTCAATTTTGTATGAAGAGTATGGAAAGTTGCCAGTCCTATGCATGATTAGTACCATAGAATAGTAGCATTGAAGGGGCCAAGAGAGCCATCATGTCCAACCCCCTGCTGTTGCAGGTCACTGATTTATACCATTCCACTCAGATGACTGTCCAATTTCTTTTTGAATGTTTCTAGTGTGGGAGAGCCTATGACCTTTCTAATTAGAAGTGGTTAATTGTTTTGTATTTGCAAAATGAACAGAAGGTAGGAATTTTGAAGAATTAAACACTTCAGTTTCTGATACTTAACAGAATAAAACACCCAAAATTTCCATTTCATTTTTTTACCCAGGAAATGGGACTGGGGATGACTATTCTTAGACCATTTTATTTCCATTCAGGTTTGGAATCAGAGGTCAGTGACATGGTCAATAGCCAGCCTAGTGCTTTGATTCATTAAGCAGCCCTCCTCCCAGAAAGGAATACTTTCACTTTCCTTCTTATTTTGTTCCGAGTTTCATAGGAGGTAATTTCTTTAATGGGTTACAGGAAGTGCTTAAGCTTCTTTCTAACACCACTGAGATCTGATTCCAGTATTGACGGCTTTATGTATATCCTGTGTTGTCCCCTTGAGTGAGAGTTTTCCCTGTGGTTATAAAGATGTAGGCATTTTAGGATTTTTTTTTTCATTCATATGCTCTGTTTTCCTTACTGTTGATATCTCCTCATCTCACCCAGACAGCTGTGGAGCCTTCCCAGACATAACCCAACATTTTTCATTAGTTTAATGGGCATGAAAGGAGTTGAATGTGGATTATGTAGGAGCTATGTAGATGTTAAATTATTGGAATAAAACCAAATGGGAGGTAGTACCACAAGGAAATTTCTTTGGCCAGATTTCTTTTCTAAACTCTAGAGTGTTCAATTCAACATCATGTGTTAACTTTAAAACAAGAAATCAAGCAGAACCAAAACCAGATATACTCATTCGGGGAGCAAGTAGCACTCAGCAGTAAATCTGAAATATTACTTTAAAGTGCTTTCTGAAATACCACTGAGTGAGTCCTCTCGGCAGCTGCTTTCTGGCTCTGGAATTCCATGCCAAGGAAGACCAGGTTATTTCAATCTGCTTATAGCAATGGTATTTTTATTCTGGAAAGGCTTTTCTCTTAAGTCCACCTGTTTTCTGAAGTTGATTTTAACTGGTAGATGCTGTTTAATTGATTTCTGCTGGTATTTTAATTGTAACTTTAATTTTTCTTATATTTTATTGTTGGTAGCTTTAAGAGTTACTTGAAGTGAACCATGAAAAAGAAGAGGCTTAAATTAACTTGATTAATTAAACAGGGTTGAAATCAGCTTGCTAGTTCAAAAAAACATTCAGAAACTACTTGCGCTGCATGTGTTCTAAGTCACTGCCTGAATGCCCACCTCCACCTTTCCACAATAGAAATATTTTGCACATATATATTAGAAATATCAGGGGGATTTTGTTTAGTCATAGTCTACATACAGTGATTCTACAAAATGTTTAAAAAGTATGAAGTGGGTCTTGGCTGACAGTAAGATATTGCTGTTAAGGTCAGTTGTTTGGGGCTTTTTTTCTTTTTGCAAACATCATATTTTGTGATAAGAAAAATCTCATTGATGCTGTGCAGATGGAAGGAAGGGAAGCCTGGGGTCCGCCAGATATTTTGGACTGCAAGTGGTCAAATCCCTGACCATTGGCCATACTGGCTGTGGCTGATGTGAACTGTAGTCCAAATTGTCTGGAGGTCACCAGTAGGGTATAGTTTGTCTACACCATGCTGTAAAGAATAATAGCAAAAGTTTTAAGTATTTTAATGATTTGTGATTTAATAACATTATTATTTTTCTTCAGCTGTCATGGATGAATTAGTGGAAGATGACATTGATATTTTGAACCATGAAAAAGCAGACACTCATCCTAAAAGAGATGAAGAGATTCCTGTTCCAGTGTACACAGGTGAAGAGTCTGTTGCTTCACATTTTGCACTTGTCACTGCTTATGAAGATATCAAAAAACGGCTAAAAGAGACAGAAAGGGAGAACTCTGTCTTAAAGAAAAGAGTAAGACTGTTGGAAGAAAAGGTATGTAACCTTTTAGCAATGCATAAGAAATGTACCTCTCTGCCTTTAACATGATAAGGTAACTTAGATTTAATAGTAGTAAATAGTAGTGATAGTAGCAAGGTGGATTGATTTAAATCATTGATTTGAATTAGCAAGAGAATGGTTGGTTTAAATTGCCAATGGGCTTCTCATTGAATCTTTTCAGTTTATTTCCTGAATAGTGCTATAGATTTGACCACTGAGCAATATTAATTTATAACTAAAGGAGCCGTCATAAACAGCCGTCAAAGGGCACCATTTGAAGAAGGTTGAAAACATTGTTTGGCTTTCTTACAACAAATGTTGTATCATTGTTCTGTATATACTTTGCATACTTCCCTCTTGTATCTATAAAGAAAATGTGTATATAGGTTTTTCATTTGACTACTACCTATGACAGGTAGAACTCAACAGCACAAACCTATACATACTCGGAAATAAATTCCATTAAGATTATTGGGGTTTAGTCCCAGACAATTGAATATGCAGCCTACATATTGGAAAACAGGCAGTTATAGACTGGACAATTTTGTGTTTTTTTTTCATTGTTTGTCTTGATCCAGCAGCAAAGTAAGCAACGGAAATGAAACACTCATGGCTGATAGATGAAAACAGATTTAATAGTGATTAGAATTCAGGATAGAATACAGAAAAATGAAATGATTATCTTTAGATGGAGTTGGAATATTCATATATGAGAAATATATTCATATACTATATTTTTTAGTTGGAAAGTACTGTCTTCTTTAATTTGATTTTATCTGATAAAGACATTCATTCGATTTAGAAATTACTTATATAGCAAACAAGCTTATATCCAAATTATTTAATGTTAAAATCCAATTTACATCTGGCTGTTGTTTCAAAAAGTAGTTGATTTTCATCCGCTATCTTATATAGGCTAAACTGTCCTCTGACCTTTCTTCTGTCTTTGTCCTCTACCACTACTACACAAGTACAGAACGACAACAACCCACACTCTGGGTGGGTTCACATGACAGGAGCAGGCATGATGAAATTTTACTGTTGTGAGTCTGTTGTGTTGTGTGGACCCAGTTCCAGAGTTACTACATGGCAAGATAGTTTTCTGAAACCACTTAATTTGTGATCTGTTCTAAGGTTTCCACTGTGGCTTCTCTGGTTATCTGAACCTGGGATTGCCATTTTACCATTGTTGGTATGGAAACAGAGTCCTGTGGCAAGAGTGGTCTCAACTCATACTGCCCTCAGCTCCATAGCAACAAGTATGTTATTGATCACTTTATTCCCATTGGCCAGGTGATGTGTCATTCTCCCTGTTTACTTTTGGAAACAGACAGCATGAAAATGCACAGAGGGAAACGGGGCATAGTGGTGAACCTGTTTATTTTCATTTAATAAAAATCTCTGTGCAGACTGGAGTGGTTGGGATGCGCCATGAACACTTAGAAGGGGGAAGGGGAGAACCTGCCTTATGGCCACAATGGACTAACCAGGGTGAGGCTGCCTGCAGTCCAGAGGCAAGAAACTGTTAGGATATGTTGTGAGGATGGAATGGGCAATGCAGAATCCACACTGTCTGGATAATAACGTCATTGTTTGACTGGTAAGTTCAGGCAAAAAGTCTGCATTGTGAGAACAGTACATTTTTCTTTGCACATATGACTTTAGTCAGAGGAATAGAAACTAAAACCCAGAACTTTGAGGAAACCAGAGCTGGTAATTAGACTAGACAGGGGCCAGTCCCAGGTTTTCCTGCATTTCTGCCCTCCCCTGTTTCTTGAGTTCCTTTCTCCGTCTTCATCAGTGGATGGAGGCACCCCTGGATGCAGATCCTGTTAGAATCCGCCTTGGGTCTTCCTCTGTGTCTTGGTTTTTGGCAGCGGCAATCTTCAGCAAGGTCCTCTTCAGAGCACAAACAATGCTTGGATCCAGATCCAGGCCAGAATCCAGTCCTGGGTTTTTCTATATTTCTGTACTCCCTGGTTTTTGTGGTCCGTTTCTGGGTGGTCTTCAGTGTACACACAGCAGGATGCAGATCCAGTCAGAATCTGCCTTGGGTTGTCCTCCCTGATTTGGTTTTGGGTTGTCAGAGTTTTCCACAGAGTGATCTTCAGAGCCTAGGCGCTAGCTGGATCCAGATCTGGGCCAGAATCCAGTCCTGAGTTTTTCTAGATTTATGTATGTCTAGGTTTTTTGGGTCCATTTCTCGGTCTTGTTCAGTGTAGGGGGACATCCCCCTATGAAGACCAAGCCAGAATCCGCCTTGGGTCGTCTTCCCTCTCTGGTTTCTGGGATTTTTAGCATGGTCCTCCTCGGAGCACGGTTAGTAGCCAGATCCTGGCCGGAATCCAGTCCTGGGTTTTTCTGCATTTCTGCCCTCTATAGTTTCTTGGGTTCCTTTTTCTGTCTTCATCAGTGTACAGAGGCACACCTGGACACAGATCCAGTCAGAATCCAGCTTGGGTCATCCTCCCTGTCTTGGTTTTTGGTTGCCGGGCTCCTCAGCAAGGTCATCTTCAGAGCACAAATGCTACCCGGATAACAGTTATCAATAAAAATAGACAAATGAACATTTTTGTGGCATGTAATGGCTGGGATAATTAAGCAGAAAGCAGAGCAGTTTTTGTTTGTCTTGCTTTGCTTCTTTAAAAAGTAGTACTGCTAGCTGTAAAATAATGCATGAATGAATGAGTTTGGTATGATAGTAAATTCTTAGATTTGACACTACTTGAATAAATATTAAGCCAGCAAAAATATAATCTTTACGTATCTAATCTTTTAGGTCCTTGGCTCCCATTTGGAAGAAACAACGAGCTCTATAGGTCGTGAGCAGGTGAACAAAGCCTACCAAGCCTATCGTGAAGCTTGTATTGAACGAGATAATCTGAAAATCAAACTGGAGAAAATGGTATTCTTTTGCTTTTGCAGTGGGTTAAGAGTTCTGCAATTCTACATGTGTGCAGTGTAGGAATGATACTGAGATCTTTATAGCATAACCAAGATTAGATTGTGTGACCATTCAGCATCATCAGAACTAGCTGAAAGGAGGCACTAAAGTCATGTTGATTGCCAGTGCAGGTGCTAAATATCTACTTAAATCTTACTGAAATCATTTGGACTCAAAACTGGTTATGTATGTCTCTTGTACTCTTTATGCCCTTCATGAAAAGAGAGAAACTTGTTCATTTGCTAGAAAACGAAGTATTATCTTTCACAGTGTGCAGCAATCTGTTTCAGATGTTGGTTTGTTACTGTTTCTGAAGCACTGAATAAGCATTTAACAGCCTCAGTATCTTTTTATGAAAATCCTGTTGCCCTTGGGTCTCCAAGATGGTAGTCCTGGCAGTCCATAAGCCAAACAGAGACTGATGATCATTTTATGGAGAAGAGGCAAAAGCGATCTTCCTCTATCCATCCTCATGCCCTACATTTTCACTAGATGGGCTCCCCCCCCCCCCAGAAAGAGTGGAAAAGAGTCTGGTAAGACCTTGTATTCTGGTCTCTCTAGTCCCCATCCCTTCCTACCCATTAGAATGTACCCTTTCTTATTCTATGAGGTTGTTTTCCTGTTGTTGTAGAGCAGCTGGCATAGTTGTTTCCGTGTCATCTGTAATGGGGAGAAGGGTTAGAGCTCTGATTCCCAGCTCTGAGGTCAAGAGTACTGCCTCTGACCTCAGGTGTGGGCATCTGAAATATCCCATGGCCTCTCCGAAGCTTCCTGGGCCATAGCATTGCTCTTTCCAACTTCAGGCATATGTGGATTTTAAGTAAAAATTGGCAAGCTAGAGAATCAAAGCCCTGACAGTGTGTTCTTCTCAAATCAGATGAAGGAGAACACTGAATCCCTGAAAGTCTTGAATGAGCAGTTGCAGTCCAAAGAAGTGGAGCTCCTACAACTAAGAACTGAATTGGAAACTCAGCAAGGTGTGTATTATGAATGAGAGTATCAATGTAGGTACATGAATACAGAGCTGCATCCATGAATGCAAATTATGTCTCCTTCATCTGCTAATGCATTAAGTTTGTGTAACAGGGTATTGGAATCAAGATTGCCTGGAGAAATATCAACAACCTCAGATGATACCACTCTCATGGCAGAAAGTGAAGAGGAACTAAAGAGCCTCTTGATGCAGGTGAAAGAGGAGAGTGCAAAAGCTGGCTTGAAATTCAACATTAAGAAAACTAAGATCGTGGCATCCAGTCCTATCACTTCCTGATAAATAAATGAGGAAGAAATGGAGGTAGTGACATTTTATTTTCCTGTGCTCCAAGATCACCACAGGTGGTGACTGCAGCCAAGAAAGTAAAAGATGCTTGCTCCTTGGAAGGAAAGCTATGGCAAATCTAGGTAACATACTAAGCAGCAGATATCACCCTGCCGATAAAAGTTTGTACAGTCAAGGCTATGGTTTTCCCAGTTGCAATGTATGGCTGTGAAAGTTGGATCATAAGGAAGGCTGAATGCCATAGAATTGAGGCCTTTGAATTGTGGTGCTGGAGAAGACTCCTGTGAGTCCCTTGGACTGCAAGGAGATCAAACCAGTCAGTCTTAGAGGAGATGACTGCTCTTTAGAAGGCCAGATACTGAAGATGAATCTCAAATACTTTGGCCGCCTAATGAGAAGGAAGGACTCACTGGAGAAGAGCCTAATGCTGGGAACAATTGAGGGCAAATGAAGAAAGGGATGGCAGAAGATGAGGTGGAGTCACTGAAGGAGTCGGTGTGAGCTTAGGTGGACTCTGGGGGATGGTGGAGGACAGGAGAGCCTGGATGAATGTTGTCCATAGGGTCGTGACGGGTCAGGCACTAACAAAACGAAACGCACAGCACCCAGCACCACATAACAAGGTATTGCTGTAATATTCCATGTAGAAGCAAAATACAGTGTGCTTCCATTAATTGGTGGCATTACTATCATAGATTGCTAGAATTTCCTTTGTAAATTTTGTGATGTCTGATAATCCATTTGAAGAAGGATTGTTGCTGTTGCTTCCAGTTTAACTAGGAAAATGTATTTTTGAATGCTATTTTTACACTTTTCAAGTTCATATTAGACAATTCAAATACAAATTATTTTAGTCATAACTTGCCTTTTAATGGGGGTAATTGAAAAATATAGGTTAAAGTGGATTAGAATGTTTTGAGAAAATTGTATGAGATTACAAAGAATTTACAATGAATTTTAAGTGCAAAAAAGGTGATTGTATAGAAAAGACAGTAATTGTCAATGTTGCCTAGAATATCAGATATTTAAGGGAAATTACTGTTCAAGAACCTTTTCTTTTTCTTTTTTGTAGCTTTTATGTGTGGTCTTATTTTTATTTTTTCTCCCTTTCCATCCCCTCCCTTTTATTTACTGTTGTTAAAATAAAATTACTTTTTAAAACAGGTGGTTTATAGAAATCACAGTAAAATTCAATCCTTAAAACTGTCCAGTAGAAAAGAATTAAAAACAAACACCAAGCATTAGATGGGGTTTCAAAGCCTGGGATTAATAACTGGGTCCTTGGCCTCAGAGAAGACACCTGGCCACTTCTCTTGTTGGACATGCAACTCCATTGCTCTTCAGATGGTGGGGCACCCAAAGAAAGATCTCAGTTGAAGATCTTTGTGTATAGATAGGCACATGTGGAATTGATTGGCCATTTGCATATCCTTATGAATTGCTTCACTGGTCAAAATTAGCATTTTGAACTGAGCTTTGAAATAGACAGGGATGCAGTGTAGTTGGCAGAGTACAGGTGTAATATGATCATAAGACTTTTTTGAGAAACAGCCTCACAGTTGAATGTTGGACTAATTGTAGTTTCTGAACTACCCTTAGAGGCAGCCCACATAACACATTACAGTAGATAACCTGTAGTTTACTAGAGCATGGATCACTGAAGCCAAGCTTTCTCTTTTTCCAGATAAGGTTCTAATTGACAGGCCAGACTTGGCCACCAAAAAGCACTGCATGCCACAGGATCATCCCTCACCTGCAGAGATCAGTGAGCACCCCCAGAATACAGACTTCTATAGTGTCCACTTAGTGACGTGAACCCCAGTATCCTGGACAAAAAAGCCACTCACCAACAGGACTTGTTGCCTTGGGCTAAGCTTCAGCAGTGTTGGTTCCCGTTTAGTGCATGGCTGAATCCAGGCACTGTTCAGAACCATCTCTGCCTTGCCCGAATTGGGTGCTATCTCTACCTTGATAATGCCTCTCTCCAAATAGCCTCAGCAGTTTTGTGTCAATGCTAGAAAGAAAGGGGAACAAAATGGAACCCCGAGGGAGTGCATAACACAAATGCTAGTGAGTCAAGCAGTACTCCCTTAACACCACTTTGTGAAATTGGCCAAGTAGGAATGGTACCACTTAATACCACCAGTCCTCAACCTAGATAACCTGGTCTATGGTCAACAGTAGGAAGGTCAAAGGAGGAGGGGAAAGACCAACTATGAGAAGGATCAGTTCCATAAAGGAAACAACAGCCTGAATTTACAAGAGCTGAGCAGGACAGCCAAAGACGGAATATTTTGGAGGACAGTCATTCATATGATTGTCATAAGTCAGAGATGACTTGATGGCACATAAAAGGTTGTGCAAATAAATAGAGGTTAGGTCCATCAATAGCCTGTAATTAGAAGTCAATGGAGCCTCCATGACTGGAGGCAGTGTTATTGGAAAGAGGAATAATAGGATTTGGCAGTCATCTTTCAAGTGATTGAAATGTTACCACAAAGAGGAAGGCCCAGATCTCTTCTTGATCTTCCTAGAGTGCAGGACACAGAATAATGGGCTCAAGTTACAGGAAGCCAGGTTCTAGCTGAAAATCAGGAAGAATTTCCAGACAGAGCAGTATGAAAATGAAACCAATTGCCTAGGATGGTTGTGGACTCTCCACAGTATAGGTAATCAAATGCACCTGGGCAGCCTTCTGAGATAGATGGTTTAACTTTGAGTCCTGCACTGAGCAAGGGGATTGGGGGCCCTGGTCTCTTCCAGCTCTACTATTCTATGATTCAATGATTTAGAAACTTCTAGATTTATATGATTGTCTGTTGTGGAAAACGGTATTTTGACTAGATTAACTTCCGTGTTGATTCATCATAGTCATTTGTATATGACCTGCATGCTACTTATTCTGGATTGTTTCTAAGGCTTACATTTCATATACAGAGATCTACCTGTGAGTTTGCAGGTATATATTTCGTGTTGTGAGACTGTTTTTAAAAACTTTAAAATGTAGTTAGAAATTGCTGTTTCTGCTTTCAGATGACTATATTGATCTGAAGACACTTGTACAACTAATTTCATATTACTATATTCTGATACTTGGCATTCTGCATGCATATAGAAGTAGCCCCTGGAATCCTATGAACAGTGTGGATGTGGGCCTAGTCTTTTGTGTCCTTGCTTTTACTTGTGTGTAGACAAAGTAAGGGAAACTTGTGTGTCAGGTTTGGTAAATGAGTGTGTGAGCACTTCTGCAGTAAGTGTTTCCCCATTTTAAATAGATGGTTTTCATCCTATAGTGCCTTGTAATACCTGAGGGGCCATGGAGTAATTGGGATTCCTTCCCCTCGCATTGGTCAGAGGTAGCTGCCCCTGCTTCCTTGCAGCCAGTGCAAAAAGAATTAGGCCACCTCTCCCCCAAAATTGGAAAATTGATCATAGGGAAAGGGAGATGGGGGTGTTTTGGTGGGAGTGGAGGAATCTGAAGAAACCAGGATCTGAGCTATCCTGAGGCTTCTCCAGCCTGCATCCCTCCCTCTATGAAGTGTCATTGCTAGACATGCAAAACAAGCCCATCTAGTGAGAAATGCAGGGCAGGAAGGCAAAGATTGCTTCTGCTGCTCCTTCCATCCCTCACTGAATGATCTGTGCTGATCATCAAGGGTGCAGTTGATAGGACTCTGTCTTTAGTCACTTTATACTCAGCCAGCAACTTGTATAACAAATCTAAGAGCTGAATCCAAAGTTGCCATTCTGCCATCAGAAAATTTTTTTTAGATCCATCCCTGTCACTTTCAGCATTGAATTGTATTGGGGCTGAATCTGTCTTGTTTCCTTGCAGTGATGAAGAGTCTGAATTCAAGCCCATCTAACTGGGAAATAGACAAGCTGAATAATGCCCTGAAGGTGCACAGTTTGGAGCAAGATTTGGAGAAGCTGAGGGAAGAATGTAATAATCTTAGAAAAGAATTACAAGTATCTGCACAGAAGGTATTACTGTATACTCTTCCACAAATGGGGAAGGAAGGTGTGTGGAATTGTAAAATTGAATGTTTGTATGTTCTGCAATTAAGAAGTACAAACATCTATATGATGCACACCTGTATTTTTGCATATCTGTTGCATTGTGTCCAGTGTTAGTCTAACTTTATTCTCATTGTGTTCAATGGGTGTTCTTTTACATTGGCTAAATTTCACTATAACAACAGGCCTGGTTGTGCATTGTTTTTGACAGTGGTTATTTTTTTCCAAAGAGTTTTGCTATATGATTGGGACTTTGTGTGCATGACTGCAGTCTCTTGTATTTGCAGAACTAATTACTTGGTTCTCAGAATCTTGGCCATTATACAGAAGAAAACTTCTGTGCTCAGCCAAGATTAGTTAGAGCAACCTTAGTATTGTCCTTAATAGTTGTACTGATTTTCTGCAAGAGGGAAAGCAGTTCCCTCTATTCTCCCTCCTCACTAAATGAAGGCTTTTGGCAACTAACTAGGTAAATGTACTCATTCTTTTTGGCAACTAACTAGGTAAATGTACTCATTAGTTGACATTGCCTCAGGTTGGTTTCTAAGGAACAGCCAAAGAGTCTGGAGCTTCTCATTAAGTACATGAACAAGTAGGGGTTGCTGCAACTTTAGTTCATTTTATTCTTCTGGGTGGAATAATGGGTTAATTATGACCATCACTTCTTTTGGGGATTAAAATGATGTGGACTTGATGCAGATAACGCAACAACCTATCATGAGTAGGCACGGTGGGGTCTTACTTTTTCCAAAGCCAGATTGTTTTCCACAAGGTGGCTTATATTTTGGCACAAACCACTCTGACAACCTGTAGCTTGTTCTAGAGGTTGTCAAATCACTGGTGGGTTGTCATGCTGTTAAAACCCAAGAGAGCAATTTCATCATGGGTTGCAGGGCTATTAGCGAGAGCAGCAAAATCTCTTGCTCTTGCTGCCATCAGTGACAGCACCTCCACTGATGCCTATGTAGCACTTTGAAGGGACTGTCAACGGGTTGCCCCCAATTTTTTTTTTTTTTTGGCCTTAAAAATTGCACAAATGGCTTCATAATTTTAAAATCTATTTATTTCCCTGCTCTTTCCTGGTTGTCTGGTCAATTTTATGTTTTAGATGTAAAAGGAAGCAGGAAAGTGGATGTGGTAACAGGCATGGAAGTTAATGAGGAGAAACTGCATGTAGGCTTCTTTTCAGTTGCAAGAGCCAATAGCTAAGTTGTCAGTTGAAAAGTACTGAAAAGGGGTGGGGAAATGGCAACAGAAGGTGCACCAAGATGGGTATATGAACAACTGACACTTCTCAGTGCCTTCTGCCATTTCAACATTTCCCCGAGTCAATCCTTTTGGTTTTCTTTTGCTGCTGTTTTCTCCTTTTCAGTGTTTTTCAGTTGACAACAGAGTAATTCGACCTGGGAACTGAGGGGAAATTACCTTATGTGTAATCTAGCCATTTCACTTTCCATTTATTTTAGTTGAACAGGGGAGACATAAAGGGAAATTGTCAAGACTATGCATATTGGATAGCCATAAGAATTCAGTTTTGTACTTATAAAAGTCTGACAACAGTAGCATGAATGATGTAAATTATGAATGTATTTGTGCAATTTTCTAAGGAGGAAAATATGCCCTAAATTGAACATTTTTGTGACTCCAAGGAGTTTTTTTTTTCTCAAATTGAAGCAGCATATGAAAACAGATACCAATTGGAATTCTGCCACAAAGGGCACTAGGATACCAGTTGGAGGACCAGAGGGAGAACAAGCCATAGTAAGCCTAATTGTCTGTGACATGCACTGTGAATTAATTGTTAGGCAAACAACCCATGCTGCGTAACTCTTTCTCAGAGAAATTTAGTATAGTATAGGCAAACCTATAGGCAATTGTTAGGTTAATACTTCTCAGATAGCAGGGATTAGATTGCAGTTTTCAAGAAGCTCCACTAGATGGTGCCAAATGCAAGATATTGGCATGAATTTAAGTCGTCTTTGAATTAGCATCTTTTAAATCCACTGCTTAAAATTTGCTGAACTGAGCATGTAATTCATGGCACTTACTTATGAATTCTTTTGATTTCAGTCAGATTATTCATGAAAGCCTCCTTTTCCAGTTTTTTTCGGTAGAAGCTTGCTAAAACATTTAATTACTACTGTTTATTTTTTTGTTTGAGTAGTCATGCTATTCCATTGAACTAAACTCTCCAAAGAAAAAAAATTAAAACAGCTGGTGTGTCTGTGTAAGCGCATGGGGGGGGGGAAGATTAGTCATTTGCTTCTGAATCAGTACATTGTATATATTGTCTGTATAAGATAGATTCTATGTAAAAGGTTTTTTTGTAGGAAAGCAATGAAATGAACCTTTTCAGGTGCGGTTCTAGTGAGATTAGGCCTATATAAGGCTGGGGACTGCATTTATTCTCTCGATTCCCTGCCCACATCTCTCCTGAGCTCTAAGTTCTGTTCCCCACATTTTGGATATAGGTGCCAAGATACAACATGGATCCCCTAAAATGGGGTGATTATGATTGTGCAGGTCATATCTTGGCACAGTGGATTCTGTTCATGTAGGTTCATATCCCAGTCCAAAGCAGGGATTCAGGTGACCTTAGAATGACTCAGTTGCACTCAGTGATGGGTTGCAGTAGGACAGCATGATCCTACTCCTCTAGCTGTCTATACATTCTATGCATCAGAAAAATACTCTGATTTTCTGTGCATCAGAAAAAATGATTTCTAACAAATTGTTAATTGTGAAAACAAAATGGTAATGACTTTCTTTAGGTGATAGCTGCCAGACAGCATGAGAGAAACCATACAAAATTTTGTCAAAAATGATATACCAATATAAATTAATATATACACATTTCAAAACACTGATGTCTTCCAGATAGAACATGAATTTTAATATTCTAGTAGCTTCTTTTGTAAAATGTAACTGTGTGTGGTTTTTTTTATCTAAGCTTTATGTGATTGGGAATGCCATAGCTGCTTTATCAACATGGAATGGCAGAGTAATCTAATTTATATTTTGAAACCACTTAATATGTACAAAGCTCTTGTGATCAGAAGATATCAAGGCAATTGTTACTGGTGGTGACAGAGGCTGTTTATATGAACTTTGGGGTGTTTAGAGTGGGTTCAGGAGGTGGTAGCTACAAGACAGTGCATAATTTCCTCTTCAACATAAAACATGACATTTTGCTTCCTTAGTGATTCTCTTCCTTAGGATTAGTGAGGCTTTCTGCTTTCATAGATCTTAAAGGAGTAGGCAAGGCTGCTCACATAATCCCCAACTACTGGCTCTGCTAGCTGGGGCTGATAGGAGATGTAATCCAAAGCACCTAAATTATCAGTGGTTCCCTTTATAGACTTCTCCCTTATTTTAATTTAATTTTAATTTGTTTTACCATGTCTCTGATTTGGGATCAAAGGAAGTACTGCTATTGTAATACAGGTTAGACAATTTTTTCAGCTAACTTTTTATAACAGCCCGTTTCTCCCTCTCCAAAATATCTGCTGCTGTGTCTTTTTGCACAAAATTGCCCATTTCTAAGCATGTATCATTTTCTAAAATGTAAAACATGAATGAATAGTTTAATAGTTAAGTTAGGCAATTTCCAAGTGACAGTTGAATTCTATTTTTAGTTGAAACATGGGATGTAATTTAATACATTTCAGGTGCTATTTTAGAAAACATCTGTGCCTACATGTATAATATGCATATTTAAAATTGGTATCACAGTTTTCAGTGCCTTTTTCTTTTGAACTTTCAAAGAGCTTCTGTGCTTCTGCTGATTGCATTGCTCCAACATTACTAACTGCTAGCACATGGAGGACTTAGCATTTCTAGATCAATAACCCCAGAAACAAGCCAGAAATACTTGTTTTCAGATCAGGGCTAATGTATGTATGTATTCTGATATAGTAGAAGTACTCTTGGTCTTGGCCATTAGAACAACTTTTGAGATATTATTGAACATGTAAAATTTAATACACTATATTTTTAGTTATGTTTGTTAAATATAAGTTAAAGATCCAAAATTGATACAGAGTACCTAAAGTTTCTAATTCAAAATGTATGAAAACCCATGTTACTGCTGCCGTCTTTGATTTTGAAATTTCCGTCTTTGATTTTGCATTTAAATGGGAAAAGTATAACTGTCTTTGGCCAAATAGACAATTTCTCTGAAAATGATATTGAAATGTTTCTTTTTTGAATCCCAGGTTGAATCCCAGCAAGAAATTGTAATAAATGGAGAGTTTGTCAAGCAGCAGAACATTCAAAGGTATGAAGATTCCATTCATTTCTTTCAACTTTGTTATAGAACTACAGTGTGGGTGAGTCCCTGCAACTAATCCAGTCCATACTGCAAAACTTTTAAGGAAGGCAGTGATCTGAATAGAAACTCAATTGGTAAAGACCTATCGAATTATATACATCCCGATAAAGCATGTTTCACTTCTTCAGTCTTTGCCTATCTTTGAAGATACTTTAGATTGATAACTGATTCAGTATGCAATTTCAGGACAGGCCTCTCAGAACATCTGACTCTGATTTTGAGACAAGTTTACTGGTTTCCAGTTGATTGCAGTGATGGTACTTGCATCCATATTGGGTTGCGTCATTCAAACCCCCGGGCAAGACCAACAAGCCGAATTCCACCATGGGTCCAAGGGAAGTAGTGAGCAATCAAGAGCAGGAAAAGCCCCTTGTTGCTCTAGTGACAGTTATTCCACAAAGTATCCAAACAGCACTTTGGAGTAACTGACACTGACTTGGCCTCCCCCTTGCCAACTGCGATTCACTCTGTGGTCATCTTGGCTCCCCCCCCCCCCCCTTTTTTTTTCTTTTGGCAATTGCTTTTTCTGGTGCAAAGTGTTCAGATTGCCTATTGGAATGGTTTAACATCCATTACCTTAAAAAATGCATCTGGGCTTTGCACAAATATTTTTGTTTTTGGGAGGGAGTTGTACAAGTCTGCTTCTCTGAATGTGTAACCTTGACTTTTCATTGTTCTAGTTGGTGGTTGGTTGGTGTCTCCTGTCAAAGTACAGGAGGCATCATCCATGGACATTGACAGAGCAAGGCTACTACTAGTTTAATTTCTTGTGTTGCTTTTTATTTAACAAAAAACTGTCAAGTGAGATCATGAGGGGATCTTAGCTTGGCAAAGGGGTGTGGTCGGTATACCTTACCCTTCCCAATGAGATTCTCTAATGTTTGTTTGCTTGGCAAACAATGCCTGTTCTGAGTGTCCACTGAGTGTCCACCACCTTTCCTAATCTTTCTAGGCACCATAGGTACCTGCAAAAGTGTGAACACCTTATTTGGGAGCATGGCGTTTAGAGGACTAATCATGATTTTTGGTCAATATAATCAATATGCAGCTATTGATTCTGCTCATTTCCTTGTCCAGAAGCTCTTACTGGTCCCCTCAAAACCCATTTAAAAAGAAGCCTGAGTTTTGACTGGTGTCACTAATTTTGACTGATGTATATTACTAAATGTTTGTTTGTTTGTCTAAGGTATTTGTATGCCATCCTTTGTGAGAGCCTCAGGATGGCTTACACAAATAAAATACATTTACATAAAAGTATAATATAAATAAATTAATGACCCACTTCAAATGTTATCTGAAGTAGCTTATTGAAAGTATATCAGCAGATGTAACTGGTGCATTAATGTGATCACCATATTTATGTGATGAAGACACTGCAGAATTTGAAGCTGAAACATGGACCACGGCCAATTGTTTTGTCTCTTCCACCACTCCCTCCAGCTAAATGGCTGCAGGTTGAGGTCCTTTGTGGTGAGAGTTCCCAAAACATTTTCAAGATTCAGAAATTTATTTCTTTTTGGGCCCTGGCATTTAAGATTTAGCTTTTTGAGAGATGTTTTCACAAAACTCAAGTCAGAGTTCAGATGGCTTGTGAGAGGGAAGGGGTTGCTTTGTGAAGCCTGTATTCATCATGAAATACAGAGGAAATCAAACTTAAAGACTTGTTAGTTGAAAAATGGCAAAAGGAGTTTGGGATACAGTGCCTTATCTCATAACCATTATCTCTTATGATAGTGTTAAATTATTATTTGTAAGATTTTATGCCATAAAGTTTTACTGCTGGCATCCATTTTGTTTTCACTGGCTGTTTCTTGCCTAGCATTCCTTTCAGACTGTGGATAGAAAGGCAAAAATCTTGGGCAGCGACACAGCAGAGCTGATAGTCCTGCAGTCGGTGCTTCAAACCTTCTGCTCCTGGAAACTTTGACCTAAGAAGATGGGGGTGGGGCTCTGAAATCACACGGTCCCATGAGCAGCATAGAGACTGAGCTGGCTGATCCGTTCTCCCTCCTTCAAAGCACCAACTATGCAATGTGTAGTTAAGCATGAAAACTTCACATACTGAGAAAAGGCATCGAGGACTGTAACATGCTTATCGATGTTTTCAGTCCTTGGAAATGCATTTTCCTTGTTTTCCACATGAGGGAGGAATAGGACTTGGTCATTTCATAAGTTACTTTGGGGCTTCCCTTAAAAAAAAGGAAGGAAGCAGATATGTAAGACTGCTTTAGGCCTCCAATATTGTAATAACATATATACTATACCCTTTATGTTCTTGCTTCTCCAAAATAGTATTTAGTTAAGTGTTTGGTAAATGAGATGCTCAGTCCATCACATTAAAGAAATTGTCATTTTTTTAAAAAGTATTTCTTTGGTATCTGCCTAGAATATAAATTGGCCACAACAAACCAATTTGTAAAAATTTACAGTTGTAAAACCAACTGTAACTCACATTGACTGTGAAAACCAGTCTGCACCTCTTCTCACACCTAGAGAAAATGTTTGTTCCAGCAAGTACCTTTTGATTTAATTTGAATATGCATGTACACTTCTCTAATATGCTTGTGAAATATTTGTCACTTGTCAGTGACACAAGATTTTTTTCGGTCAAATATAAATTGTTACTTAAAAACATCTAAACTCTTCTTTAGATAGTGGGGTGCAGTTATGTTGGTTGAAAGGAATTGGGACTTAATTCACAAGAGGTTCGGTAGTACTTCAGTATTTATTATATCAGTAGGCATAGTTATAAACAAAAGCACATTAGCTTTTCATGCCAAAACTCTGAAATACAGGTGAGGAGATGGGATGACACTGGCAAATAGCCTTTTAAAGGGAAGGAAATTATATTGTTAGGATGTGTTGTATAGTTGTTATTGAAATTTGTGTGCAAGGGAGCAGAACAGCTAATGGGCTGAATTCTGTTTAGAAAAGCTCTTGCTTTTCTGTGTGTTGGTCATGGGTGGAGTTGATAAGGACAGGCAGAGCTGAAAGCACAAGCCAGAATACCAGTATATTTTAGCTTATAGGTCCTGCTGCTGGTAATTAAACCTTAGGAGGCCTTTCAGCCTTGTATAATGTGGAAATACTACAAAAACTGGAATACCCACAAGCGTTAGGTGGTTGGGGCAAAGATGGTGCCAGATGTGTGGCCTTTGGGGATTAGTACCCTGAGCAGACTTTTTCTGCATCCTTGATTTAAGGCATGACAGACACAGTGCTTAACTAGCCATCCTCACCTCGCAAATTCTCTCTAGAGTTGAAGTTTTGTAGATCCTTCAAACATCCTTCCGTGTTTAATGTTGGTACTTGAGGCTCAGCAGTACTTAGCATTTATGTAGCACCTTTCAAACATTCGGAATGCTTCACAGGGATTTCCTCAGGAATCCTCACAACAGCCCGTTAAGTTAGGCCTGTAGCAGAGGTGGGCAACTTGTGCTCTGTAAACACTTTGTCGTACAATTCCCTTCATCATTGGTTGTGCTGGCCAGGCCTGATTGGAATTGTGGGTCAAAAATTGCTCACCCTGGCCTATCGTGGAATTATCTCCATATTTCAAAGGGGGAAAGGCCAGAGTGAAGAGTGGCTTGACTATAACACCTGCTGAGTTGCAGCTGAGGTTGAACATGAACCAGTCCCCCACAAGGAAAGGCTAAGGTTTAGGGGTGATTTTCATCTAGGGAAAAAAGATAGTATTTTTCTCCCTCATCATTTTGGAAATGGGATCACCGCCTGAAGTGGAGTGGTGGTAGTCTAAAGACAAGGAAATAAAAAGACTTCTGTGCATTATGTAATGAACTTTGAGAATTCACTATCCCAAGGTGTGTTGAAGGCATGTTCCACTTAGATTTTAAAGTATTAGTCCAGTTTACAGAAGACTGCTGGTACTAAACAGAACAGTGATAATGCTTCCATGTGCAGAGGCATATACTTCCAAAGAATATTATTGCTGGGCAGTGGTTGCAGGATGGCCTTCAGCAGGCCTGTTTGTAAGTACCCAGAGGGATCTAGTTGGTTGCTGTTGGGAGTGGGTTACTGGGCTAAGACCACCTTTGTTTGATCCAGCCAGGTATGACTTCCCTCTCCTCACAGTTCCCTAGCTCTCATCCTTGTGTGAATTCTCTGTGCCATACCAATCACAAATTGGCTTCTGGCTGGACAACCGTTTGTGGGTGCAGGGGGCAATTAGGTAGTGCCCTAACATGGTATGCGTTTATGAATATACCTGGAAATAATGGCTTTTTGTGTTAGTCCAGAAGGTTTTTTTAAACTAGCTTTCTGAAGCAATTGCCTTTGGTTTGAGAAGTTTTCCATAAAAGTCCCTGATTATAGACATGGAGAAATATAAGGCCAGCTGAAATGTCAACTTAAACATGTGTTTTCAGTGAAAATGTTCAGCAAGCATACTGGGAATTGAAGAAGGAGATGTCTAATCTGCATCTGGTGACTGAGGTACAAGCTGAAATGCTGAGGAAACTGAAACTGATCCCATCTGCACCCAAGAAAGGCAAGTCAAGGTTTGCAAGATGATGTCTTAAGAATGCAAACCACCCTCCTTAAGCTGTACCATATTGGAGTGCAGTTTGTTATTGTATCTTATCAAGACTTGATCAGGTGAGGCTGACAAACCCCTTTTTTATTATGGTTCCAGCCTCCCCATTTTCTGCCTTGTACTGGTCAGCTTCACACATAAAAGTGTTGCTGATGGGTTTTTTTTTTTTTTAATTTTCTCTTCCCTTGTGGCTTTTTCCTCAGTCAAGTGTTGCTTATTTGTATGAAGCTGAGGTGTTAAGTTTAGTTGTATTTGACCTTTTACCACAACTACTTCATATTTAAAAAACACCAAAAGATATTTTTCAAACATGTCCCTACTTTACAAGCAAGTCACCCCTTTAAAACATACGCACACAAAAGCTCCCTAAATGTGTGCACTGCCTTTTTCTTAACTGCTTCCTAGGATCTTTCATTAATTAAGAGCTGCATCATACAACATGAAGAGAAAGCACTTCCAAAAAATAGAAGCTTAGAAAATAGCTTACCTATTTTGCAGCCAGTTCAGATACATGTTCGTTAAACATGTGGCTGTTAGCTCAGCTTAAAAGTGGGGGTGGATGTTAACTTTTTAACCCTAAAAGGGGGAGGCACTGGAGGGGAACAAAACCTATCCACTTGCCCGAATTACTTCCCTGCATTCTAATTCAAGGTGTTTTCTCTTAGCAGACTTATTTTGCAGCTAGCTAGGGGAAAATGCTTAAAAGCAGTGCAGATGAGGATGCAAGCAGCATGGAGGCTAGCTTCAGTTCTCTCCTCTTTAGGGATGTTGGAAAAATCTTCAACTGATTCAGATGACCTTGGCTTTCTCTGAATCTAACCTGCAGATGCCACAGTGGACAGATTATATGGACTTGTGTGCTGGTTTTTCACTTCTGGAATGGGGTTTGCACTAGCACTGGGGCATGTTGGCCAACAGGTTCAGTGCTAATTGAAGTGAGGTTCTTACAGAAAAGTAGTATTTCCGTTATTAGTTCTTGTCTTCTAAACAGTAACATGATAAATATATTAGTTTAATATCTTTTGTGTAAGCAGGAAACTAAGATTATTTGGTTATCTCCATAGTGCCATCCTATACTACTGCTGTTCAGTGTATTGAAGACCTTGAAGAGGATACAACAAATCTACATCTTGCGGCTTCTGGATCAGTGTGCAAAAAGTGGCTACTTCCACCAACTGACCAAGTTTTCAACAATGCTGTATCTTCCCCATCATGTACTGAAGAGAGATTTTGTGACTCTCCATTTCAAGAACAGAACTCCTATGGAAAGATCTCTTTGGAAGATAATTCTTGGGTCTTCCCAAGCCCTCCAAAACCTAGTGGGACAATGTTTTGTGAAATGAGACACAGAGCGTCTCAGTTAAACTTTCCAGAAAATAATTTGGATCAGTGCAACCAAAACTGCCTGGGCAAGAGTGAAGAACTTTAGGAAAAAGTTGATACAAATTTGAACAGGCGCGTGTGTGCATAAGTGGAATGTAGCAAGTGTGAAGGAGGATGAAAGGGTAGCAGTCCAAGCTGGATCTTACTCTTCACTTGTCTAAATTTGAAAGCAGTCCAATGAAATCAAAAGAAATGGCATTTGATGAAAATGAGTACACGAGTCACTCAGTCCTCCAGATTACTAGAGTATTAAGTCTTGGAGTCAAACAAAAACTGTACATTGCAGCTGTGTGAATAACATTGCTTTGAAATAGAGCATCTTCCGACATTTTCATAAGCTGTGAGAATGTTCTTTTTGACAGTATGTTTTCTCTTTAGGCTTCTCAGGTAAAGAATAGAATGTGATTTTGCTTTTACCTCTAGTTCTGAAGCAGTTACTGCATTTTCTCAATGAGTAGTGGGTGTTGGGAGGAAAAGGCGAACAGATGAAACTATTGTGACATATGTAATAAGCCAAATTACTAGAATTCCTTAACTGTGTTCTCCCTAGCCTTACAGTGAAGAATTTGATATAGTGGAAAATTGAAAATCTCTTAAATAATACGGTAGATTCTGCTGTCATTTTTCAAATGGGTAATGACATTATGTAGTTACTGCTACCTCTTCTGGTATTACCCTAACCAAATCATTTGGGTGCTTATCTGTCTGTTACCAAAATCATTGCTTTAAGACTTCTGAACCCATTAATTTTGCTTTGGTGTAAAAACTTCCAAGCGCCTTAATCTAGGCAGAAGAACTGTTAACTCTAAATGCATTTAATCTTTTTTTACAGAAACACATAACTGACGTGTCCTATACTTAATAAGATGCTTCAGGTGTCCAAAAGTTATGTACATGGGTAGCACAGTATTTTAATTCTCAACATTCAAATAATTTTTAAGCCTTAGCTCCCTACCTTGTATTATTGATTATTCTGTAGTCAAGATTTGATAGTAAACTCTGTTAATCCATATTGAGCTACTTCAAGCAGAGAACTTGCCCTTAAAGGTATATGAATTGCCAGGCTTCCAGCAATTCTTTTCCATACTTGACTTTTAATATGCAGGGGCAATTACAGTTTTTCATATTAGAAAGCTCTAGTGAGGACCTGACTACATAGTGAGGAAACAGGTTTATGTTTTGCTAGTTCAATGCTGGACTCTTTATCAGATCATTCCAGTATTTACAAATTAGTGTCTTCTGCTGTTTCCCACTTGCATCTAGGTGTGAATTTGAAACACGAATAGGAAAAAGTAAAATCTGTATTAGATGTAACAGATGCATGTTCCTAAATGATAAAGGACTTGTCTTGGAGCTGTGTCTATATGTTCTTGAACAGCACCACCATATCGGTGGTGTACTGTGACAGAGGGAATAGTACATTTTTCCTTTCTTGCATTTCTATATTTCAGTGCTGGCTCCTGTATTCCTTGTCTAATATTGGAGGGAATGTAATACGTGAAGAAAAAAGTATACCTTCTACTGTGGTAGTGAATGGCATACATAAATAATGTACATACCATTCACCAGATATGTTTGTTTTATCTCTTATCTTGCTCACGTAGCCTGGCTTGTCTGTGATTAATGGAAATGGTGTCAGATGCTGGAATTTATTCTGACCAATGAACATAGCTGACTCGAGGGAGTACAATCTCCTGAAGAGTAATAGAACAAACCCAATATGCATAAAATAAATCCAAGTCACTAGACTTTAGCTGATAGAACCAACTACCTGTGTAATAACAAAGCAGCAGAAGCGATTTCTCATGTGGCTGCATAGCTCTGATGTGTTTCTCAGGGCCGATTCTTTGGGTACAAGAGACTTGGATAAGTGACATTGTCCAGCACAAGAGCCTCTTAATGTTTTGAACATGTGCTGAAGAAACAAACCTATTTTTAAATAAATTATTTTTCCGTTTGAAAATGGCTTTTTGTAAATTACAAATATAGCATCTTTTAACTCCTCTGAACATCATGCTTTTGGCAGATGCCAACATTTTAATGCCTGGGCCATAATTCTACATTTGTGCAATCTGTTTTGATCCCCAGCCCCCCAGGTTTTTGCCTTGAAAGCCAGTCTTGTCCTGCTTGGTTCCCTTGTGTGTTGAACTTCAGGCATTCCTGGCATTGGTTATGCTAGCTGAGGCTGGTGGGAATTGAAGTCAAAAACATCTTGAGGCTATCAGGCTGGGGAAGGATGGAACATCATTCTTTTATTTTGTGCAGCTAGCCAAAGTAAATTCATGAAAATATGCTCTTCCTCCCAAAGGAAATTGGAGTGCTAATAGTAAAACGATATAAACAAACACTAAAATTCAGTCATCAAAATACGTAGGATATTCTCTGATCTCATTCCTAATCAGGACAAGTGCATCTCTTAATGAGCTACCAAAGTATATTGGTATGACATTTTAATTCATTCAGGAATTGTTCACGAAGATGTTTTTTCTTTTCATTCTAAACATTCTAAATTGCACTCCAGACATTAGAACTTGCATATTGAATTGCATGATTTTTCTAAATTGCCATTATAATTTGGGTGAGGTTAATTTATGAGAAGAGAGAAAGAATTACTGTAATCTAGATTTCTAATCACTTGTTTCTAATAAAGATCCTACCCCCCCCCCAAAAAAAAACCTGCTCAAGAAAAAATTGAGTTTGAAGTCACTTGGAAACTGATGAATTCATGAAGCATTCATACATTTCTGAATCTGAAAATCCTGCAATTAGCCTGAATAACTGCCTGTCACTTTAAATATCTTCTTTCTTTTTGAAATCAAAGCTCTGTTGCTCTGGCTCTTAACTTGAACCACCATAAAAAGGACTGTCTTTTGTCTACACAAATCCAGCCACTTTGATCAATATGAAAGTATGTGTGAAAGCTAGAAATTCCCAGAAGTGCTGAGAGAGATGCCTCTGCAAATGGGCAAGTTACAGGATTAAAAAAAAAACAAACTTAAGAAACTTTGGGTTCAGTTCATTTCATCAACAGCTTGGATCTGTGGTGGTGGATATTTGATTAGCTAATGTTACAAAATTGGGACAAGTTAGGAATGCTTCTCATAGTGAAAAAGGGGAAGTAAATACTAAATATTTCAAAACTTATAATTTATTTCATGTTTTATAATAGCTCCTGGATCAGAAAGAGTACCACTGACGACATGGAGGGTTACGTCTTACATTTTTATTATAACATCTCTACCTGAAGGCAGCTGCATCAGTAAAAACAGAAGAGATTTTGACAATTTAACACAACTCCTTTTTAAACTCAATTGGTCTTTTTTTAATCCCCTCTCTATATAACCATGTCATGTTACTATCCCCTTCTACCCCATTCCTATCGTACAGCTAGCTGTCCTTTTGCTTTCCCTTCTTCCACATGGCTTCCTTTGATTTCTGTTTGCAGAAATCTTATCACCTTGCTCTAACTTCTACTGCAAGCGCAGTGCTTTTGCTCTGCTGTTGGCACCTATACGGAACGTGTTGTCCCAAAAATACAGTTGTTCCATAAGTTGGCCAGTGGTGAAATACAGGGTGCTGTAACTCCAAACCTGCCTTTTGGGAATGGGGTGAAGAACACCACAAATGTAGTGAAGGGTGAATTCTTCTGCTTCTGTTATTGTTCAGGAAAGCCCACCATGCCTGACTGAAGTTGCCCCAAGGGCCTGTTGTAAATTGAACTATGGAAAGTCCCGCCACTGAAGTAGATAGCATTTTCTTGCTGTAATCATATTTTCCAGATTCAGGATACACTGTTCACAATGACAGCATACAAGTTTCATTTATTGCAGTGTTATGATTGAAAAAACATTGCAAGATCTATTCAAATTTGGTGTTTAATGGCATTGGCAATCAACCCACAGCCCCTTTAGCCAAGACATGTAAGAGTTTACATGCTGGTGGGAAGCTTCTGCTGCTTTTGGGGGATTCCTGTTGCTCTGAATTCTTCCCTTTGCTTCAAATATTCAAGCTTGCATTCTTCATAAAATGCTGGGTCAGTATAGCTAGAAGAAAGGAAATAGGATCATTAGATCTTAGTTATTTCTTTACGCAATTTCATCTACTGGTGGACTTCTCAAGATGTAATCCTATGGCCATCAGACAGTAACTAGTCACAGGAGAGTTAGGAGTGCTAGCTCCCTCCACTCTCGCACTCAGCAAAGTCTGGTAACCTGCAGCTCCGAGATTCTAACACAGTGCTTGCGGATGGAGTTCTGCGAGGAGTCGGGCTCTGCCAACATGCAGACTATTCTGGTGGCACCTCAGCCTTTCCTTCTCTTGCATGCCCATAACCACCTGAGGTCAGAGGACTGTGGGCAGTCATAGTGAATTGCATCACTAGAGACCACAACAAGCCTCCATCTGCCCACATGTCCCATGCAAGTGTGCAGCTGTATCTGGTGCTTACTCTGGTTGGAAATCATACTTTTCATTTTGAAGGGAAGCCTGTTCTAGAGTGTGCTGCTGCAGATACAGTGGAAATTGGGGCATGGTCGTAAGGAAAAAGATGTGTGGCATTTGAAGATCCAGTTTTCAGGGCTCCATACCTGCACTTCTTACCTATATAAGAGGAAGAATGTGTCCATGTGGAAGAAAGGGGATTGATACAAAATAGCAGTAAGTGAATAACATTATTCAAACTTGGGGCCATCCACATTTTGAAATTATTTTTGCATGCTCCCCCGGATAATAGGACAGAACACCTTTCTTCCAAATACTTAGCAACTGGGTCCTTTTAGGGTATGGGAGTGTTTTGGTAAATGATCACATGAAACAGTGGAGTTAGTCTCAAATTGCAGAATGTATATAGAGGAGGAAAAAATAGTTTTTTTCTATTTCTAGGTCAGCCAATAAAACTGGGAGGTACAAGTTAGACAGTAAACAGAAGTCTCTCTCAGCTGGGGATGGGGATTTAAAATGCAAGTTAAGTGGTAATGATATAAGTAACTACTCCAGATGTGCATAATCTATTCAAAATTATTTAATGTCTTCTTTTAAATATTTTATTAATTTGATCATAATACAATTCAAAGCTCATTACCCAATTTCCAGCCTTAGACATTTAATGTTAATACAGCAGTACTTTCCATGCTTCTAAACTGAATCTGCATCCTCAGCTTCCCAAATATATTCAAGGAACTTTGATGTAAAATATACTGCAAGGTCACCTCCAGATATTTTGTTTAGCAAAACTGCTGATTTATAATTAAATTTTTAACATTTGCTTGAAGATCTAGCTTTTGTTTTGTTTTGTCTTCTTGATACTAAGTATAACTGGTGTTACATCTCCTTAAGTTTAACAAGATAGTTCTCATATATAAACAGGCTCAAATGATCCTCATGTACTGGTCTTGCCTAATGTGTCAAATTGTGGCTTATCTTTCAAATATATTGCAGTATTAGAATAATCAAACTTTGTTAGGGGCTTCCTCCCCCTATCCAGATTGTCACAACTTGGATGTCCCTGCAATATCTGGTAGAGGCTGCCACAGTGGCCTAGCTAGGTTCTTTGATACAAGAGCAGCTCCACTGATGGGGATAAGTGAACCAGAATGCAGTAACTAGTCGAAATGATTCTAGCAGAGATGCACTTTCTGTGAATGGATACAGTATACTAATGATTGTCCAAAGTGAAAGCAAGATCAACTATCTTTCCAACTTCCAGAGAACAATTTTGAATCTCTATTCAAAACCAACAGGAACTACCAGGACCTTTCTCTTTAATTACTGCTGGGTGTAGGCTTCTCTTCCTCGATTTTACTTACTAGCCAGTGAGACATGCTTTCAGAGCTTTGTTTTCCTCTTGGCATTTGACCACCATTAGAACACCTGTGTCTTGACAACATTTGGTGAAAGCTGAAATAAAATATGAGACAAAGTGGTTATGCAGGCACAAAGTTTCAAGATCCTACGTGTTCCTTTCCCTTGATTAACCATCTGATAGTGTTTACTTTCTACAGCTTTCACACTTGTGAAGCACAAGTGCATCCTGTCCTGTTTCAGCTTGCAAAATTTTGTGTGAGAAATGTATGCATTGCCCTTAAGTTATGTATTCCCCCAATATATCTATCTATCTATTTATATATAAATATATATATTCCATTTTTAACCAGAGCTGCAAAATTTGGCAAGCACATATTCAAATGCAACCCAAGCAGGACCCTCCAGCCCAGCTCCAAGACTAAAACACCACTGCAGCAAAGCAAACGTATCAGTAGTGAGCTTTGTTAAAAAAATAAGTGTACAGGTGGGCCTCATAACAGGGTCTGCAGATGTATTTTCTGCAATCAAATTAACTGATACTGCTTGCACGTGATAGCGGTATATCGTACAACTGAATACCCCAGGACACTTTTAGCACCTGTTTTGAAGCTACCATGTACAGCAAAGGCATTCTGGTGGTACCTCTTGAATGAGAGAGGCTGGGGACAAGAACAAGGAGCCTGTACCATTAGGTTTGCATATTAATTTCTAATGTCACTGCTTGTGATAGTACTTACTCCAGGGTTCTTGTCCCAGGGACTCTAGGTAGGCACAATCCCACATACCTGCAGCTTTCAGAATGCATAAAACAGGTAGGCAACCTGGTGTTTTAAACTACAACTCCCATCAGCCCCAGCCAACACTTCCATTTACTCCGCATATTTATCTCATTTTTCACAGAAGGGAGATCAGTTTTTCAAGGCCAGAACAAGGTTGCAAACTGCACGCAGGCATTTCACTGCCCTTTGAATGAGGCTGATCTTCCCTAGCACATGTTTTCCTTGAAAAGCATTTGGCGGCTCTTGTCCCTCTGGCCAATGGATGGGGCCACAGCATTCTTGCCTGCTACCTCCACTGCCCCAGAGCAAATATCTTCTCTGGCACTGAGTGGCATCCATGGAATGGGGAGCCAATAGAGAAATGTGCCGCCAACATATGGAGGGAGAGAGCTAACATGCTTGTCCTTGCTCTTCCTCCCATCATGTGTCCATTCTACCTTAAAGCAAAATGCCTGCATTGGGTTACAGACGCATCAAAATAGTGCCAATGAAGGCCTTTTTCTCCCAGCAGCTGCTAGAGCTACACACAGCCACACACTGTTGCATAGCTATGAGGTCTGGTCCTGCTGCACACTTAACAGACTGCAATCTTACCATCAACATCTTCATCCAATAAAGGGCCACCACCATTCTTGGCCACCACATTTTTAAGGTTGTCTATCACTCCTTGACAGTGCCAGAATACTCTAATTGCTATAACATGCTTAAGGAAGCTACACAAGCCACCAGCAATGCACAATCCTATTAGTCAACAGTGAAACAAGTCTTTGTAAAGAAGTATTTTCTCACTCCGTGACCCAGTCTGATCTTCCATCTTAGCCACTCTTGGCCTGCCGCCTCAAGCTTTTTGTAAGGTCTTTCTCACTTGTTTAGCAACAAGGTTGTAATTAGGATTTTCCCTTCACACTGTGTAACAAATTAACACTGCTCATACTTGGAGTGATCTTCAATACTACTAAACTATTTATGAAACTGTATTATTCTGTAACAAATTCAGGAGGTGAAACCCTTCTCCTTTTCATACTGCTTTCAACAAGTCAGAGCCCGTGTGATAACACAGCTAGTCTTTGATTAACATTCTACATTGCTGCTTCCTATGGATCACTTCACACAAGTCTATTTGCTTTTGCACATATAACCTCTGCATCTGAAAACCAATTGTACCTCATAATGTGTGATAAACATACACACAGGTTGTCACATATGCAAAATCTCTGGATGGGAAATCCAGAAAAGAACAGCTCTTGTATAGCTGTCACTCAGAGCTGCTGCCACGTAGAAGCTTTTCTGCAGTCTTCTGTGATGCAGCCACAATACAAGAATTGGCCCAAAGGCTCAGGCAGGAACAGTGTAATTCTTTATCTTTAGAAAATTTATTAAAATTGGACTCTGTTACTGATATCATCCCACAGGTTTTAGTTATGTTAAATAGTGCATAATCTTCCCTTTTACACTAGGACTGAAATGTTTATTTGGTTATATTAGATCAAGTAAAAACTGCCTTACCTAACTGGGCACCAGACTGTATTTTTTAAAATAGTTTTTAGTGTAATGCTTGCAGATGGTAAGCACCATATGATGGAAGGATTGGTTCTCCTTTCTCACATGGTAGGAAATGTCTCTTCTGTGTACAACACATGTATATCTCTAAAAAAGACATAATTCTTACTTAGGCACTATTTTTATGCCTATGTAAACTCTATGCAGATTTGATTAATGAAACAGTTATACACAAACTAAATTCTCTTGTCTTCAGTGGCAGCTCCACCCCAAAAACAAAAGACAGGACTGTGTGTTCTACATTTTTTTGAAGTACACATTCTATGCTTGTCATCCCATTTTGTAACAAGCAAAACAAGTATTTTCTTTCTCTCTTTGTTTAAAGTTTTTATATGCTGCTTAATACTAAAAGTCTCTTGAGGACTTACAAAAAAGAAAGCAACCATATACAACAAACAACATGCAACACTCCGCATCCGATAATGATGATAAAATCCAGGCTAAAACCAGGCACATAAGAGTTTTAAAGCTTTGCATATCACATTGTAGACATGCGTTCTTTAAAAAACATGACAGTGACCACTATACTTGGAAAAATGAAAACATTGGAAAAGACATAGTCAGTGTTTAAATTTGAAGTGTCTAAATGGATCACACATGTTCCCATTTCATATAAACATGCTGGATATAATTAGGTAGTGGTGGGTGGATGTTCACAGGGCTCTCAAGCTGAACTTGGTCCAAAGAGCAATTGGATTTTTGTTTCCCACTGGCATCAGTCTCAGCAAAGCAGTGCTGCGCTAGTTTTTCTTCTTCCTTTTGTAATCATTTCTCTGGAAAACTGTGAAGTAAAAACACACACACGAACATACAAAATAAAATATAAGCTGAAGACAACGGGAGGTCCCTCTCACTTCTTAGCTCACCAGCTTCAGTTGGTTAAAGGTGTGATGTCCTAGTGAACAAAGACCGAACTGCTACATAGGGCATACCCCAGCCTCCAAAAGACCCTGCCTTAGCTACAGACAGCCTTAGTGGCACGCACAGGAAGCATCATTACAAAGTGATAAAAAGGGCTTCCAGCTATAAAGCCTTAATGTTGTTAATGCTAACCAAAAATGAAAAGAAGAGAAGGGGAAAGGAACAAGCACGAGAATATTAGAATCCAGCTATATGAATATATAACACCACATAATTACTACTGGTTTTTGTCTCCACAGCCTTTTAAAATCCTTCTGCTGCTAAAGGACTAGAATTCAGACCATTTTATTAGAAATGTTTATTAGACACTTTCAAAGAGTACAAAAAGCCTGCACCTCAATTTTTTAGTATCTGGTTTTGACAGTCCATGAACTCTCTTGTATGAACAAAGAATCCCCAAAACAGAGTACTATCACTATTAATTAAAAACCTTTAATTAGAACTTTGGGCAGAGGGGACACAGAATCAGAATGCAAGTGAAATGTGAAATGTAAAAACTGACATGCATTAACATTAACCCTCAACAAATAAACCTAATTTCCCAACTCCAGTTTCCCGTTTCATGTATTTTCATGTTGTCAGTAGGTTCCTTCAAGGTGGGTAATGAGCTGTGCAAATGAAAATAACTACATGAAGACAGACTAAAGGCAAACGATACTTTCAATGTTTTCACAGTATTTTCCACAAGCTTCCAATTGAGATAATAACTGCAGGGCACTACCCTTTTCATAATCAGACTGCAGTCTGCTGACATATACTGCATGCTGAGTGAGGAACAGTTGGCCTTTCATTCTAGTCTCACACTGCAAGGAGAGAAGAAGGAACAAGGCCATCCAAGAATCCATAATGGTTGTCATTTTAATTTGAGACTACTTGAGAGAGAGGAGGGGAGAGAGGGGGGAGGGAGACAGAGACAGAGAGATTGAGATCACAAGGTTTGTAGTGAAAGAATGAAACTAGTTTCCTGCGGTTAAAAAAGGTAACCGTATTGCAGATGTGAAATGCACCTTCTGTGTGACTGCACCTTTGTGTGGCTTATGGCCACAGTTTAAATGAAAAGTGATGTTCTCAGGCTTCTAAACAAACACTTTTAAACAGTTTTATCTTTCATAGTTGCAAAGGAATATTCAGCCAAAAAGCTTCTCCAGTGGATGGATGGCTCTGTGGGACAGCATGGGAGGTGGAACTGGAAGCTCCAGCAAGAAGAAATTTGGGAGGAAAAAAGGGGGTCCTTCCCTTGCTTCCTCAGAGCTAATGATAAGTCTGGATCACACTTGTTCTCCTCACTTATTTGGCTTCCACCTCCTTTCTCTTCTTTTTTTCCTTCCCCATATTACATTGTCAGAGGAAAAGCCTCTCAATGCAACAATTCATTTGCTTATACTTTATCTCATCATAGATGATCCTATGTTTATATTAAACCAAGTCTATCCTTTTTCAAAAGAGTGCCCAGCCAAAACTATGTTCCACAATCATCAATTGGCGCACACAGATTAATTTAGGCATCAATAAGATTTTTCATGATCCATAAGCACAGATCAAGGATGATCCATGATCCACTGAGCTGGTCCTAGACTGCAGAACCTTCTACTCAAACCTGTGGCCCCTTTTCATCTACCTAACAGCCTCGCCTCCACCATGAAAAAATTAATACTCAATGACTGGCTTGCTTACATTTCTCCTTCTCTCTTGTTCTTTACCCAAACCAGGGGCCGTTATGAGGAGAATGAATGAGAGCCAAGGATCTCAGAAACTCCAGCATGGAGGGCAGTAGCTAGAGGAACACAGCTACCGTGCTTTGGAAGGCACCCTAAACACCATGCTTTGTGATGA